ATGTAAAAGAGCAGCATTGCATCATAGAGTGCTACTTTGCATCAAAGTATATCAATATGAAGTAGTGGGAATCTGAACACATTTGCATATTCCTTATTCGTGACACAGTGTTGGCATTCTCAAAAAGAATAACTGTAGCTGATGGCAATGTTTATCTGAAGAAATTTGTGCATGTTAGCAATATACCATCTTCTGTCAGCATAAGAAGAGCATCTGGGCCCCATTAACTCACCAAATCTGCCACTGTTCTGCAAATTTTTATTAAGCAAGTGCAGTCCCTAATAGTCACTTATGTCATAGAATGCGTATCAAATGCTGTCAATAAGCAAGGCGATTGTTTTCCCCTAGTGAGAATGCATTTGAAGGGTATAAGAAGGTCTGACAAAAGAATAAAACACTTTAAGTGATCACTATATTAATATAAATGTGCCCTCCTGGGAAGCCAATGCATGTAAGTAAGTATTATGTGCACTTTAATGTTTGCCACTAACAAGTTCTCAGAGTGCCATCTTTTTCATGTATTTTTTTCACATATTTTTCTTCTCTCAATTCTAACAGTGAACCTGGTCGAAATTAAATGAAAAGACACAGTCTGTTTATCCGCACTTTAGAAAAAGATGCCATTGGCATCAGGCAGTTCTAATTAGCTTCAAAGGCCCACAACCAGAGAACTAGAAACATAGGCCATCAGGCTGCTGCATGTCCCAAACAAGGCTTCCCGAATGAGAGGACGCACCGGGAAATTAACAGGCATCCAAGCCAAAAAGTTTCCTCTCTGTTACGCACCTTACGGTGATTAAATCAAATAATGTTCATCAATCTTGTGTTGAATGTCAGGAAGCATAAGGTTAGTATGGAAATCCTATTATCTAAATAAAACCCGAGAAATCTCAAGAGGAGCACGTCCATGGTGCCCTCTAAGTAGGTAATAATGGTTACAATAAAAATGTGTATGAATTACATCTTCAGAAAGACTCAACATTTCATTGACATTTCTTCAATTACTGTAATATCCCTTTAAGATCATCAAGAGCAAGTAGTACCAGTCCTTGGGTAAAAGTGAAGAATAACAAAGGGAAAGTAATAGGCTCTAAAACCTTAAAAAGAAAAGAAAAGAAAAGAAAAATCTGTCATCAGAAGCAGAAGAAACTTAAGCTTTTGACTCATCTTACTTGATGCTTTTAATACTTAACTATTTTGAACCATTTTGGAATGGAAGACCTTTCCCACATCAGGCCCATTCATTTTTCCATCTCTTGTAAATAAGTCCTTTGTTTAAAATGACGCATCTGTCATAATTCATATCGCTACCATTCCAATCACTGTGCTATCTAAATATTATGTATTGAAAGTACTAGACTTAAGCTCCTGCCCCAAGAGATAACTTTAATAGTAGCTCTAAGGTAATGTGAGTTATAAAGGAAGTTGGGTATTAATTATAACACTTGCCATTTAAAAAAAACACAGCTTGATGGCATGTGTAATTTTACCTCATTTTCTCATTTGCTACTGTTATTTAAATTGCTTCTCAGCACTAAGCATGTGTATAAAAGATGATTGTTCCAAATTTAACCTTTTAAATAAAATGTATTATATTAATTAAGTCATTACAGCTCCCTCTCTTTTCTATTATGTTTATTCATTTCTCTTCTGTCCTAAAGATAGACATCTGTGTCAGTGAATATTTTGGAGGAAGACCTTTAATTTTTATGCCTATCACCCATTTGGATTTTCTACACTGTTTTTTAAAATAGTTTATATTAGTGTTCTAGAGAATTTCAAATTGTCAATTAAAATAATGATAAGTATTCCTACTAGAAATAATAGACATTATTCAGGCAAAAAGTTAAGAAGGTGCCTTGTTAAACCTAATTTAGCTGGGGAATTTACAAGTACTTTAATCAGCTTAGATTTAATTAAAAAAAAAAAAGACCAAAACAACAAAAGCCTTACCTTTGTATGAATCCCTTTTTCAGAATAACTATACATAATAAAACCGTATAGTCTAGTGTGTTTTCTTTGGCTTTCTTCCACTGCAAGATGAACTAGGAGCCAGGTAAAGCAGGAGGTGATATCTGCTGTGGGTGTGGAATGATCCATGAGATAACAATGTGGAAGTACCTAGCACCCTGCAGAAGCATGGTATGTTCTCAATTATTTTCTCCTTCTATTTCTACATAATCCTGAGCAAGCGAAATCATAAACACCACAAGCATCATCAAATTCATCACCTTTACCACTCTCAAAGCTTCCATTTATGAAAAGTTTTCATTTATTGAGAATTATGTACCTGGCACTATGCTAAGTGTTTTTGTGCATTTCTTTTATTTAGCTGCGACAACTCCCTTTGTACTGTTTTTATCCCCATGTTTTATATGGGGAAACTAAGATTAAAAAGAGCTTAGTAACTTGCCTGGTAACGCTGGCGTTCAACCCACATCTGTGTCATTATTAGCTATCGTATTATTCTGTCTTTCTCTTTTGTTTCTCATTAATGATAATGGCAATAGTTAATATGTATTAAGCATTTACTATATGATCTTCTAAGTACTTTGCATATACTTACACATGTAATCATCATCACAAACCTAAGGGGTAAGCAATATTATCCTCATTTTCTGTATGATGAGGCGGAGGCACAGAAAGTTAAAATAGCTTGCACAAAGTTTCCCAGCAAGGATTCTAATTCAGAAAGATGATTTCTCATCTATGAAATGGGAAAGACTATGTTAGCTTGAACCTATTAGAATTGTAGATTTCCAAACATGTTAAACAAAATTATAGTTAATGCTTAATATTGATCACCACAGAAAGATTTCTATTAACAGCATATATTCAAATAAAAAAAATAATTTTCTGGCATATAGGTATTTATGTGTTTTCTTATATTTCATGCTACTGGTCATTCTTCAAATTTTTAGATAGTAACTCTTCTATGACTCTTATCACAAGTATAATGGAGTGGTTAAGAGTGATAGTTTAATTTCTGGCTCCTCCATTTAGGGGGTGTGTGTCAGTTTCTTTCTCTGTAGCACGAGGATGATAATAATAACAATAATACCTACCTTTCCAGGTCATTATGAGGATTAAATGAATTAGTAGATACAAAATGCATAGAACCCATATATTACAAGTGCTCAAGAAATATGAGCTGCTATTGTTATTTTTAATCATTATTATTGTTTTTCAGTATTTTCCTACTTACACTGTAGACTCCACTGTAGTTGTTTTTAGGCCTGAGGAAGAATTTGGCTCACAATCGGTGTCTGATAAACATTGTCTGACTTACTTCCCAACTGGAAATAAAGCAAAAAGTCTAACAAGATTTTTAAGCCGTTGAGAACAGAGTAATCACAGACATGTAGTGCTTCCATCTAGACAATAAAGAAATGCAGCTGAGGGAAGGAGGGCCAGGTGGCAGTGGGAAGATCGTGCCGAGTAACTGGATCAGTTCAACGTGACTGGATATTGTGGGCAAATGAAAGAGGGACGTGTTAGTCTGAGAACAGTCCAGGGTTTGGGAAATGGAGGAGAACCTCCTTCTAAGGAAGTTTCCTTTCACCTTGCTTCAACCCTTGAGCACTTGAGTTTTATAGACTAACATAGACAGTGGCACGTGGTAAATAATGACCAGCTTTTGTCAAATATTAAAGTAGTAATCCAAGCAGAGACACTTAAGATTAATAACTTTGCGTCTGTGCTCATGAAGGACATTGGTTAGTAGTTTTCATGTACTGTCTTTTCCTGATATTATATCAGGGTAGTACTAGCCTCATAGAATGGGTTGGGAAATCCTCCCTCCTCTGTTTTCTGGCAGAGCTGCTGTAGAATTGGTGTTATTTCTTCCTGAGGTGTTTGGTAGAATTTGCCAGTGAAGCCATCTGGACCTAGAGTTTTCTTTGTGGGAAAGTTTTCCTTACTCATTTTTTAAAAAGGTAACTATAGGGCTATTCATATTATCTATTTCTTCTTATATAAGCTTTGGTAATTTGTGCCTTTTAAAAATGTATCCATTTCGTCAGATTTGTGTTAATCTAGGATTCATTTTCCCCCACTATTGAGGCAAGACCTTTCTTCATCTTCTACCTCATCCCCCTGAATTATGAAGTTTTCTACTCCGGCTGCTGGGAATAGGCAGTATTCCTAGCCCTGTGTGGACTTCAGACGCTGTTCCCTTTCCACTTTTGCATGGTTCTTTGCCCGGTCTCGAGTAATTTCCTCACACACCTGTGCTCATCAGTATTTAACTGAATATGGGTTCTCTGAGGCTGTCAGAGAATTCTGCATTGCTCTCTCCTCTCCTGGTCTCTCCTCTGCAAACTCTGTCTGCCTTGGCTTCCCTGGACATCTAGGACCATGTCCTTAAGCCAGGGACATCGTGCGTTCTGCCTATGGGTCCCCCTCCCTGTGTAGCTGCCTGGAAACTTTCTCCAGACAGTAAGCTGGGGTAATTGTCGGGCTGGCCTCATTTGTTCTCCCTCTCTTGGGAGTCACTGTCTTTGTGGGCGGATGTCTAATCAGTTGAATGCCTTTGTTTCGTCTTTTTTCTATTTTTTTAAAATTGTTTCAGGGGGAATTACAAATCTGTTCCTTTTACTCCATTTTAACCAGATACAAAGTCTAATCTTTAAGTATTGAATATATGTATGTTATTATACTCAGAGTTTTATTATATTAATTTATTATACATCTCTAGTTTCATGAATTTAGTTTCTCTTCTTTTAGCCATGTGAGCAACAAAAAAGAACTGAAAGTATTGAAAATTAAGAAAAAATGATCTTATATTTATAGAAGGTCTAATAAACATATATTTCTTCATAGTTGCCTTTAAAATGTCTAATAAAAATCAGGTACCCCAGGGTAGGCTAGGAGAAAAAACTTCCTCAAATCATTGCCAGTAAAAGATTTAATTTATTGTGAATCTATATTAATTTATTATTCAGAAAATGTCTGATTTACAAGCAGATCTGATCCTTGTCTCTTTTACTTCTTGTCCTCAGTGCCAGATGAAAGCAAAGTTCATTCATTGGCTGGACACAAATTGGGTAAGATATTCCTTGTAACTGACTTTATTTTCCCTCTTCCTGGAAATCGCTGGCTGTGTTTTAGTAGCAGTTGGAACCTGTTTCTATCCACTATTCACTGAAAGGCTTTCTAATTAATACATGCGATGTCTCTGACTTCCACGAAGATGAATTATTGCTTGGCTGTGTATATAGTGGTATAATGTATGCTGACTCAAAATGTTTGAGAGGAAAGAATAAAGGTTTCCAAAAAAATAATTATAAAACCAAAAATCTTAGACCTATCTTCCAGCTGAACACTTAAAAAAAAAGTTATAAATAAAGCCCAAAAAAGTTGGAAATTCCTTCCCATGATGACTTTCACATTAAAGCGGCAGGACAAAGAATTGCAGGGTAAGAAAGACATGGACATTTCTTTTCCTCAAGAAAGAATAGGCCGGGCTTGGTGGCTCACGCCTGTAATCCTAACACTCTGGGAGGCTGAGGCGGGAGGATTGCTTGAGCTCAGGAATTCGAGACCAGCCTGAGCAAGAGCGAGACCCCGTCTCTACTCAAAATAGAAAAATTAGCAGGGTGTCATGGCACACACCTGTAGTCCGAGCTACTAGGGAGGCTGAGGTGGGAGGATAGCTCGAGTGCAGGAGTTTTTGGTTGCAGTGAGCTACAATGACGCCACTGTACTCTACACAGGATGACAAAGTGAGACTCTTGAGAGAGAGAGAGAGAGAGAGAGAGAGATCTTTTTGCTTGTCATCGAAAAGGATTGTGTCAGAGATGACTGTATTATCTTTCTTTAGACTCATGAATGAGCCCTCTCGAGGTTTCCTAGGAAGCCCCCAGGATTTCTGAGGGTCTCCTCGTTCTTTTTCTATTACGTACGAGGTACCTTCACTCCTAAAGCCAAGCTGCAGTAGCCTGCCTTCTACTCCTTCATCATCATTTATTCACATTAGTTGAAAACATTTAAAGCTACTAAGTTAGTAAATAATTCAGAAATCCATTTCTTGTACGTGTACATTATTTTGGGGGAAAATTACCCATTTTACTCCTAGAATTGCCACTCCAAACAACAGAAGGGTTACAATTTGTTGGCATCCCTCTGTTTCTGAAACAAAGAAATCTCTCCCGTCACCGAGCATCTCCTGTGTTTATGTGCCAATTATGTTTTCAGCAGTACGTGGCCTCGATGCCTCATTACCTCCATCATGTTCTGGGGCGAGATTATGATTTTTTTTTTTTTCTTTTCTTCTTTCTCCAGATTCTCTAGTGATAGCAGCAGGGAAGGGCTGGTTCACAACTCTTAGATTTTCTTTTTTTTTTTTTTTCCCTGTTCTTCCTAATAAAGAGTCTAAGAGGTTAGATTGCTGTGAAAGAAAAGATGTCTGTGGGAGTGATAAATTGCAGCATGCTGCTTGTTCCCATCTTCCACTTCCATTAAACTCTCCACCACTGGAAATATTTTTAGGAGCCTGAGAAGGAAGTTCTCATGACCAAGGAACCCCAAGGATGGCCTGTATTATTTTCATCTTAAATGAATCGTACTGCTTTTAGTTCTCTCACATATATTAATACGTGAAGATTAAAGCCTTTTTTTTTATACACTGGGATAGGCTTCAAGGTAAAAAGTTGAAGTGATTTGATTTTTTAAGAATGTTTATCAATTTGGTTTTGAAAATGAGCAAATAAGCTTTCTGGCTTTTTTGGGGGAAGTCAAATCTTGCTCTACTCTTAATTTAAGAAATTACTGTTAGCGGGTAATTAAAAGTTATTGTCACTCTTTTTAAATGAGAACATTATCAAGTTTAGTATTAATATATTGCTATACTATTTTAGGTAAATTTGAATGATCTGTTTTTATGTAGTATAATATAAAAATATTAATAAAGAACTACTCCAAGTACCAAATTTGAAGTAGTAACTTTTCAAAATTAAAAAATGAAAGTCAAAAATGGCAGAATTATAAAGCTGTCAGATAGGTTCATTATAAAATCTACATGGTGACTTCACTTTAGCTGGTAGATAGAAGTAATTCCAGAAGTCTTTATATCACATCAACCGCACAGTATAAATACATTTGATGTTTTAAAGAAGATTTCTGTTACAGTTATTCCAACCTTTACTATACTTTATGTTTATAAATATTTTTATATCTTATCACTACGTAATTGAGTTTTTCATTGGACATCTGTGGAAATACTGAAAAGCAACCAGAAACTTGGTAACTTTGGAGCAAAAGGGGCATGCAATGAAGAGGGGCAGTCACCTGAAATTATATATTCTGGAGCTACATTAACTGAGAGTGTCCTGTACAACATTAGAGACATTTGTGAGAAAACACAGAGCAGTGTTAAAGAAAAATATGCAACTAAGGTTATAAATTTATGCACTCCAAGAAGATACCCTTCCCCAAGTTTTTACATTTCTTTTTTTGGAAAATTACTCTTGAATTATAATGATCCTCAGGAATTCATCCCTCACATCCAAAGTCACTCCCCTGTGTGTGTTGCATTTATGTAGAAGAATGTTTTATTGTTATTATTGTTGTTGCTGATGGTAGTGGTGGTAGCAGTAGAGAATTAAAGGTCCTCTTGATTCTGACAACCTCTTTCAGTTACAAAATCGTTTTAAAATTTCACCTAATATATAACTATAGTCAGAATCTGCCACAGGCTGTCTGTGGCCACTAAGCAAGTTGCCAGGTTGTATTTTAATTTGTAAAATTCTGAGATCATACTTTTCTCACCAGTGTCAAAAGGGATCACTCAACCTCTGTTTGTTGCAATATCCATTCTTCCCGAGATCCTTTCTTCAGAATATTTAGGTAAAAACATATTTTTTTATCTGCTAGGAAGAAAGTGTATCTCTCTCTTTCTCTTTAATTATACAAATGTGGGCAGCTTTTGTACTATCCAAGACCAACAGGAAGTTAAATTAAATTGTGTGTGCTGACCTAACTCTGTCATCCATCTTCTTATTTGAGATGATATTCAACATTTTAATAAATTCATGTAAGTTAAAACTTCTTCTGAGTCAGCTACTTAGTGTGTAAAGAGCCATTTCATGCCAAGTTCCATCTGTTGGTCTGGCTTGGGTACCTCCCAAATTTGTGACAAAAATTTTGGCACCCTTTGCTTGGCTTAATCTTTAAATGGTTGATTCCTTAGAGCTCAGATCAAATCAAAAGCCCAGGTAAGATCTCTAACATTTTTGGCCCAAAATGTAGCATTACCCTCACCCCTTCTGGAATCAATCCAGTATTTCTGAGACTCCTCTAGTGACCTATTTCAGAGGCTTACCCCTGACAGTACATTGCATCTCATTACCCTGGCAAGGAAGACAGCAGGATGACTCTCCTGTTTCTAATGTTGTGGAGTCCTGCTTCACATATGAGAGGTGTTTATGTCTATGAAATGGTGAGACCTTCCTAGAGAACTTATAAATTATCTTTCATTTGCCTCCTTTAAGAAAAATCACAAGTTTCAGAGAGCCTTGGAAAGCCAAAAATGTCTTTACCTGTTTCTCTATCCCACTAATTGAATTCTGACAAAATTCAAATTGTAGCAATGTATGAAGAAAAAAAAAACCCAGAAAGGTATATATTTTAAACAATAAAACCATTTTTTAAAATGACAAATCTTCTTAGGGAACATTTGAATCAAGAGAAAATGACATCAAATTTGACATAGCTTGTATTATATTATTATTATTAGACTTTAATTTCGGTTATACTCAGAGTCATAAAGTATGTCTGAGAAGGAATCCTTTCTTATTTTTTTTTCTATATACTGAACCGATGAACTGACAATGAAACCAGGAGTTTAAATGCTCCTCTGCATTCAGACAGAAAGGGCTTATAAATTTTACTTTTTTTTTTTTAGTGTCATCGTCGTCTTCTTCTTTTTTTTCTTTTTTGTTTTGATTTACTGCTTGGAACTGTTTTAATATGTATTGACTGTCTGCAGAGATCTTTGCTGACCCAGCTCTTTAAGATGATGCAGCACTGAAGAAAGCCGATGAGTTCTTCTTTATGAGCTCTGACATATTAATTAGCAAAATGGACTAAAAAGCTTTGCTATTTCTGTTTTAATTTCTTATATTCTCAAACACCTGTCTATATAGCTGTAAAACAGGCGAGTCTGTGAAAGTAATGGTTGGCAGTAAGTCCAGACCTTTTCTGAGACAAGTTTATCAATTAATGAGCAAGTACTCATTAAAAATCTAGGAGGATATCTCCGTATGAGGTGTCTTGCAGCCGCCAAGTATGGTTGATACCCTAATGCCGTTTACTGATGAAGAAACTGAAGCTCAGGGCATGTAAATGCTTGATCTCTCAACTGATAACTAGCGGGATTAGGATATGAGCCTAGATCTTGTGTGGTAGAATTTATGTTTTGGGGTAATTCATGTTCCACTAGTATGTACCTAATGACCCACAATCCCAAGTAACTGAGAATATAGAAGAAGACACAATCCTTATGTGACTGACACACACATATCAAGATATCCAGTGAATCCCATATACCTTTTATAACCTCAGCCAGCTAAACAGGGAACACAATAGTTATAATTTCTCCAACAAACTTCTGTCTTTCAGTGAATATGAGAAGGGCACCTAATCTGTTTACGCTTGCCTTTGTTTCCTTGCACGCATGTATGCATGCGTATATGTGTATGGATGTGTGGGCCAAGTAGAGAGATATACGAGAGAGAAGATGTGCATGTGACATGTATGAATTACAGCAAAGGTGCACGTGCATTTGATGTGTATCCTTATAGTCTGAAAGTTTAATATGCAAGATGCTACTCTGGCAGACCTTTATATTCTGTTCTAAATGCAATGTGTATAAATTCCAAATCTAGAATGTTTAAATGTGGCCTAAGAAATTTCTGGATCCTTGCAAAAGAATAGAGCTTTTAAAAACATAAGGTGATTGGATAGTCACTTTAATATAATAATAATGAGTTATTAAAAGATATTTCATAAATTTTGTTGAGTCAGCATTCTATGCTTTTTAGAATAT